AAAAAAAAAACCAGCAGCTATATCACTCTCTCCTGTTTTTCTTTACTTTTTTGGGGGGGGGGGTTGTTTTACATAAATTTAATTTGGAGTTACATGATTTCATTTGATATCACTTCACCGGCATGAGGATGAGCATGTGATGCGTGCCGTGTTTGACGGTAGACAGGGTGGAGTGGTTGAACAGCTGCTTCATAAACATGCTAAGTGGGTTTATATTTTTCATACATGAATTACAATCAGAGCTGTCTGCCAGATGTGAACATTGAGCGTCTGCTTGGATGGAGCATCAAATAAAACGGGCCTTCCGGATTCCAGCTGGAACAAAATATGCCACTGGCTACGTTGTTTCTAAAGGCAAACACAACTTGAATGTTATCAAATGTGTATTCGTGTCAAAAATTAGAGACTGTCTTGAAAGAATGATTTTAAGTTAACTTTATGAATTAATGATGAACCGCGAGGCAAACAGCCTGATTTTTAAAAATGTAATTGTTTTCATCTCCACTCCGCGAGCAGTGTTGCTGAATTTCTTCTCTCTAGGCAAACGCTGTGTATAATTGTATCTTGTATAATAATAAAAAAATACCATAACAGGAAACCGTTAAATCATGGGACACCCGTGCACTCTGCTCCTCATTTCAAATAACCGCGTGAAAGGGAGTGATAAATAACTCAGTCCAAAGAGCAGTAAGATGAATATCAATTTTCTCTTCAAATGAGCCTGTTAGCCTCTCAGAATGCCTCAAATCCAACTCTCAGTGTGGTTTCCAAGCAATCAAGAGGTGTTTATTGACAGGAGGCTGAGGAAAAGTTGGCATTCAAGCTTCTCTCACAAGGGTGTCATTGTTATGGAAACCGTCTCACATAAACGTCGCAAAAAGGTATGGAAATGCTCCTCCTGCCAGTCAAAGCCTCTTTGTGCAAGCCCTCCGAATCTAACTTCATCTGAACGTTCAGGCCTTTTTGGTCTTCCAAAATCAATTTTCAAGCTGTGAGATGAACAGAGACCGATTGACTGTTTTCGTGCTACTACTTGATTAAATCGGTGAGAAGCACAGCCAACAAAGAAATAGATCCACAGAATATTTGTTGATAGCATTTCAGTCGAGAGATATTAATAAAAATAAAAAAAAAAATTTAAAAAAGCTGAATTTCCCATGGGCCAAAGAGCCATTGAGAAAGAGGTTAGAACGTTTGTGTTTTGATACAGCCCAAAGGTCAAAGGTTAACAACGCCACAGAACACTTGGACATGATTTTATGCAGCCCTCATCTGATTTGCTGCATGGGAATATAAAGAGTCACGAAGGTTTGGTCATCTACCACATTTACGCTCATTAACCTTTGGCCCGTGTCCTTTTCCACAGATCCAGTCTTGAACTTGCATAAGGATTAGACGTTAAAGGACGCCGCAGCAAGGACTGTCGTTCAAAGGCAGGAGAAGGGAAGAACTGATCCGAACTCAGAGGATGCCAGTCAGACCCTCAAGTGTGTCTCAATCACACTTCATCACACCTTACGGCCCACAAGACGAGACTGAAAGTGTGACCTCTTGACTGTCCAACAGAAAGTCACCATTGGAAATGGTGACGATTTTAGTATAAAATATTTCGAGTGATTCACAGAAAACATGAATCACATCAAGCATTCTGGGTTTTTCCGGAAGTATAACATTGATATAAAACATTTTTAGATACTTTCTCTGCACCAGTCAACAGACAGCACTGTATGGAGCTCCATCTTTGTGATCTCCTCAGTCCATGAATGGAAATTGAAAATCGTGGCATACCAAACTGCTGCACTACTGGACTGCTTGACTGTCAACGATCATATTAAGGTTCAATGTGGCTTCACAATGGACTACCTGTTTAGCACATCTGCCTTGCATTTCTATGGTTTGGGTTTCAAATTTTACTTCCTGTTTGAGGTTTGCATGTTTTGCCATATCCCTAAAACCGGCATGTTAGGGAGCTGTCATTTGTTTAAATTTATATTCCATATCAACAATTGGCATTGAAATGATTAATTTTATTTATAAATTTATATTCTATATTTTAATATTTATATAAATGTATACATTTATTAATCATTAACTTTACTAAACTATTGTTCAAAATGGGAAAAAAATAGAAATACTTGTACAATCTATTAAAAGTAAAGATTTGCAATGTTGACACAGATTTTCTTCCCATAAGAAAAGAACAAATGCATTTGTCCAAAAAAAAAATAAAAAATAAAAAAATAAATGTCAATGAAGTAGACACTATTGATTTTAGTTGGGAACATAAAATGATGTGGTGAGCCGGATCTGGCCCCTGGACCTTGAATTTCACACCTGTGCTCTAAAATGTCCATCGGTGTGAATGGGAGAGTTAATGGTTGCCTCTCTGTATGTGTGCTCTACACTTGGCGGTCAAGAAGACGTGTGGACCAGCCAGGACACCTCTCAGGATATGTGGGCATCACTGTGAACATTGACCTCTAGTTTGCACAGTCTTTGCTGCATCAGCGCTAAAGTTACTGCTCATACGTAAGTGATAGAAAAGTACATTGCCACAAGCTAAAATCATGCAAGACTTGAGTAATAATTACCCCTGCTGGCCTTTGTTAAAGTAAGGCAGATTCTTTTTGGGGGGGGTTCGAAACAACATTTTTTTTTTAAAAGGATGAGATTAACCTTGCATGCTTCAAAATATGAAAGTTGTGTAGTGCGGCCTGAGCAGTAACGAGATTTTAGCGCAGCTCTCTTTGCCACATTCACACTCTTAAAACTACTGGATCAAACATAACCCAAGCTGGGTAAAATAGCTAACCCAGAGCTGCATCGAAAAGGGACAGATCCAATGCGAGATTATTTATACCCAGCACTTTGAGTTGAGGATTTGACCCAGCACATAAGGTTAAGATTTTGATCCTACCCATACGGATGAGATAAATCTACCAAAATCATAGGTTACCAGGTTATCCGTATAGTAGTGGTTCAAAATAATATAAATTTATTGGGCAAAATTTTCTAAGAAGATGATGCAACTTTCTCCTGTCAGGATTTGCCACAGCAAGTCACTCGCAGGGTATGTTTTTAAACCGGATGCTTTTCATGACACAACCCATCCAATTTCCATGGGTGTGCCATCTGGACCCCAATTCCTTGTGTCTAAAGACAGCGGTGTCACTCACTGAGCCGCAGCCAAAGTTGACTAAAATCGTATGTGACTGAGTAGAGCTGGAGTTAAAAATTATCTTCATTGTTTCATTTTGGAAATGTTTTACTTCCTTTTTGTTTGGATTCATATTGGTAGTTGTCTAAATATGCATCAAACGACAAGAACTTATTTCTAAAACACCACAGCATCAAGCAAAAAGGAAGCGGCCTCGCAAAGCGCCTTTAAAACATTTTCATCCAGAATGATTCTTCGGCATGACAAGTAACTTCTGTGCTTTGAGTGATTGCATCCATTTAGTGGCACAACATTACCAACGAGACAGACGTACCCCTGGCAATAATCAGCAATGAATAATCCAGAGTGTGGTAATGACATCAGAGGCTTGTGGTGAATTTTTTTTTTTTTTTTTTTTTACAGCTAAGCCATAGAAATATAATGAGCCTCACAAAATTCAAATTAGACCTGCATTAGCTGGCATTTGTTGCCATTACTGGAGGCCTCAAGCGCTATGCTCAAGTATTGTCTCGGAAAGTTGCTCACTTCTTGCAGCAACATTATATTCAGCACTGTCTTCGACTATGTAATAATATATGTGATAATAACTCAAACATGAATATTTGATGAATGGCTTCAACAGGGAACTACAACAAGCATATTTGACTTTCCATCGGGTTTGATGATGTCAGTCAATAATCTGTGAATTTTGCGTTGATCCTCCAAGTTTTGATCGTCAAAATGTGCTTGTTATTGTTGTTTGTTGTGGCACAGAATTGCACGACATCAAACTCAGGGCAGTGTCTCATACTTTTGTTGTCTAATTTAACAAAATGAAAAGAAATTTCAAACACCTCATATTGTTTCGCAGTGCCTTTAGATACAAGATGATTTAATTCCTCAAAAGCCAAAACCTTCCACTGAAATTATGCTGGAAAACTTTGGGGATGTTCTTGGTGAGGAATTAGCATTTTAACATTGTGAAAAGCTTACAATAAGTTGATTTAGCATCATATGCCCTCTTCACTTTTTTGTATTATTATTATTATATATTGTGTTACAGCCTATGAAATCTATCAGTCTCACGTCCATAAAAAAAGTACTAAAAAAAATAAATAAAAAGTAGATCACCTTTAGCCTGCGATGACACATGACCGACAGCAGAGGAACTTGTTAGCGGTCTGCAGTTGCTTGTCGCTAGCGATCAGAGCCGTTGACGACCTCGTCAATGTATTTTTTGCTCATTGTCATTCATAACTTGTTTGCTCAGCAATTCACCAAAGAAAGGGAATCTGGAGCGGGATTTCAAAATGGAACACGCAAGCACTTTGCATGCTCCAAAAGTGTGTCCATGACTTCCTGTATCAGATCTCCCACAAAGGAGGCAATCATTTCCTTTTAACAAACATAGAGATGTGCCTGTCTTGTGTGTCGTTAATTTTTCAGTTTTGTTCATGTTAGGGCCTGATATGGCTATTTCTCATCATGTCATGCGTGTGTGCAGACGTGCGTATGCATGCGTGCGTGTATGTGTGCGTGAACTTGTTGATAAACTGGAATGGCTGCTTGAAAACTAGAGCATGGCTCAAAAAAAGGTTGGGTACCCCTGATGTACATTTTATCCACACCTTCAAAGTTGAAACTGACTTTTCATATACGTTTGAATGAGTTTTGCCAGTCCAAAATGATTCCTCCTTAGTTCCACACTTCCGTGCAAACAAGCTTGGGGTGTGCATCATACTTTTATCGAACAAACTAGAGAACCTCTCAAGTAAGTGAAGTCATGAAAGTCTTCTTTTTTTTTTTCTTCAGACCCCACATATCGATTAACCTCCCCCCTTAGACCTGCGTGGCTTCAATCTTGTGCTCGCAAGTCAAATAAAAACCAAAGAAAACAAGATGAGTGATCGGCTGAAGACAGGCGTGCCTAATGAAATGTCCGAATAAATTTGACAAAAAATGTAAATCGCCTTGGAGCAGTCAAAACAAACACATTTCAACGAATTTAGACTGCAAGCACGTTTGACCCAGAGGGTGGCCGAGGTGTTGACTGTTAGCATCCTCACACCTTATTAGGGCTCAGTTTGAGTGCGTGCATGGTTACCTAGGAAGGTTAATGCACTGAAACGATGTCTAATCCAATACACATTTACATTCGGTCGATGTTCTCCCGTCCTTCGCTGGCCACACATTACAAATTCATGACTTCACTCAACAAGAGTAAGAAAGAGACAGACGAAAAGAAAAAGGAGCCCATTTGGTTTCTTGCAGAGGGAACTGTGACAAAGTCACCAAGTCATATGTGAGGCCATTTCCTACGAAGTACATCTTCTGTCTAGCCTTACCCATGATAAAAACCTTCCCACTTGCTTTTTTAATGGTCCCTCCAACCCACAGCAAAGCCCTGCTTCCTTCTCCCGTGTTGAGGTGAGGCACTGTGTAAAAACAGCTTTTCTGTGCTCACCATCTGTGCTAAACCTAATTCTACACCAAAGAGGGGGCGGGGGGCAATACTTGCAATGCTTCACATTTGTATTTTGTTCAACGATGGCTTTCCCTTGTCTTTCAGTATATTCTATTATCTTATTTGTCACGTCAAAATCAAGGTTTAAAGAATTCCAACGTCATTGTGAATTTGTGTTATTTATTTGATCATAGTTGCATAGACATTGTTTTTTTTTCTTATCATTGTTACCGCAATGTCATAGGTCGGGGTGTCAAACTCATTTTTGTCTTCTTTTACATCTTCGCAAACATTTTTAATCGTCTCATCGCATTAATGTTTGTCCACAACAAATTAATGGATTCCTAGTTTTGAAATCAGTCACCGATAATAGTTTGTTCAATTATTGTTCAAGTAATTATCAACAAAATCTCATTTCTTATTTATTGCACATGACAATTTGACATTTCGGTGCACAATTTAGCAAGGATCATGCAAGTTGACACACATGATTTGCTTTCGCGGGCCACATAAAATGACGTGAGGGGGGCCGGATCTGGCCCCTGGGCCTTTAGTTTGACACCTGTGGTCTAAGGCATTGGTTCTCACCTCCTGTGACAGTGGGATCCGCACTTAGCTATTGTGTCAGAGATGTTCTGAACAGTGGCGGCTCATCAATAGAGGGCGCTGGGGCACCGCCCTCCCGCACAGCTGAGTTACTTTTTCAAAAATAATGAATGCAAATGAAAAATTACTTCAAAATATATGCATAGCTGTTTATAGATGAGCAGGATAAATACAGTTTGTGATCAATAAAATTGATTAGTTTGTCTGTGGCAAATACGGGGCAATTGAGTCACATGACTTGACTGGAGTGCATCTTGAGCTGCTATTTTTAGGATTGTGATTTGCATGCTTGCCACAAAGGACTTGAATTGACTCCGGACTTGCTTTTTAAGGCCACGTACACACTGCAGCTCAATTCTGATTGTTTTGCACTCGTGAGTCTCTTCAAATTATAATGCAGACATCACTCTGAGCCAGCCTGTTTGGTGAACCTGAAATCGGATTGGTTAAAAATGTCTGCATTTGAAATTCTGAAAGCCATGGGTGAATTAAAAAAAAAAATCTACCATAGCAACACGCGACTGGAAGCTGTGCCGCCAAGACACATGCAACAAAATGAAGATAATAGATTGGTAGAAATAAATAAATGTAAAAAAATGTAGCCCAGTGCTACGGATACAGTAGTGGTTAAAACCAGCAGAGAAGGCCTTGAAGGCCCCGACTGCATGCTACTGAGCTACTCAGATATGACAATCCATTTCAATTGGTGTTATATTTTTGGGAACACCCTGTATTTCATGCATTCCAGCAGCATCCATTAGGAAGACAATCTAATAACGATTGTATACAATGGTACATTGCAGTCATGGAGGAGCACTGCGTGAGAGTACGCATCTATCAGATGCAGAACCAACATATTTCTTGTGTTAAACCAATCGACCAATTGTGCGTCACGTTTTGACAATCATCTCCGTCTATTCTCCTGTGGCACAGCTTAGTAATGGCATTCTCCTGCCTTACACGACTACTGCAGGAATGAGGGAATTGCAAAGGTGCAGCTTGGCATATGATTAAATATTTCATTTGGCAAACAAAATTACAGAATGCGGGCAGAAACTGGAGCTTAGAAGAGCGGAAACGACGACCCGATGCTACACTGGGGATTGAAAACACCTGCCTGCAGGCAAGTCGACAATGTGATTTCAATATTTCATCATTAAAAATCAAAAAAACATTCAAGCGTGCTGTTGAAAGTCATTTATTTGATGGCTTTTGAAGGCTTCCATGGCTTCTTCATATTGAGAACGACCGAATTCAAATAAGAGAGCAATAAAAATCCTCCGCGGGGAGGAAGCGCAAACAGAGAACAAAAACAGAATTAACGAATGAGCGAAACAGCTGGCTGAACTGAGCAACTGCGTGGAGTCCAAGTTTCAGCGAAGCAGAGAAAAAAGGGAAATGTACATTACAAATGCAAATGACCTGAGTAGCCACGCACCCCTGAAGACAGAACAATTCAAAAACACAAAATGACAATGCACTAATTACACTTGCTCAGTATCTCTACAGTCTACAAATTATTTCAAGCTTCCGGCGGAAAGATTATGTCTCCTCTATTAGAGATGGCCACTTAGCCTAATTACAGCAAGCTTGTTTGTATTCATTTAGATGTAATAAAATATATTTTTGGGATGTAATGATGTGCATTTGTTGAATACTGGCCTACGTTTTCACATGCATTAAAGGGAGAGTTTTCTGTAAAAAAAAAAATAATAATAAAATTAAAAAAAAACTAAAAAAAAAAACAACACCAGCAAAACCTAACCAAAACCAATTGTCCGTCTGACCTGACAGTTTTTGCTCCATGAATACAATCATCTGTGAAAAAATGCAATGCGTCCTGTCCCCGATGTAAGTGCCTCCAATTTGATTTAGAGCAGACCATCACGCTTGAGGAGAAACAACCAATCACAGACAGATGTGTGACTGACGAAGTATCAATCATTTCGAAAAGTGATGAACGAGTATCGATCCGATAGCGGCCTTATTTCAAGGTATCAACCTCACAAAGGCTGTCGATACCAGTCACCGATACCAGTCGCTGGCGCCCTCTTGTGGCCTTTCCATTACCAGGAAATAATAGGAAGCTGACATCGTTTTAATGCCGCTTTTACATTTCCCCATGCAGCACCACACCACTCGGCCTCCGTTGCTGTTCCTGGGCAGAATCAACTGATATCTATCTATCAATCTATCGATGCCTCACAGGTAAATTTAGCACCTCTTTTTGAGTGTCGCGTGTGCCATAAAATGCTCGTCATATTTGTAGCCCATCAAGGAGTTCATGTGTTACGTTGTTATAGATTAACCAAATCAGTTCATATCTTTTGTCATTTTCTTTGCTTCACGGGCGGTTTGAGGTGACTGGAGTTCTAGTTCCAGCAGGCATAGTGTTTATTTTAGTCAGCGTTACAGTCACTGATTGTGCAGCATTAAGTGACTGTAAATATTTTTGGTCCAGTTCTCGGTTGTACAGGCAATGCTTAATCAATATCGAGTACTGAAGCAGAGAGCAGAAATTAATTGTCTCACGAAAGACACAGACTATGTACATGTCTTGCACTGTAAGCACTACTGCATTCAAATTAGAGCAGTGTGTCAGCCAGCGGGACGCGGAGATGTCATCTCCGTCTTATGTAATGAGAGCTTCCATCTTAACCTGGCAGATCTGATCCCAATCCCTTATTGTCTTTGCTTAAATGAATTGTGCTAAATGCCAGTAGCTGCTGCTGGCAAAGGCGCTGAAGGTTAAGGACGGCCACCCTTAAAGCATTCGTGAATCTGATCTTGTCCATTAGCCCACAAGCAGAGGCAGAAAATCAATGGGAAACAAAAGAGGCAACCTCTTGGGGAGTCCTGGGAACAAGAGAAGACGAACACAAATGGTGGAAAGAATTGTGCGTGAAAGAAATTTCCTCCATCAATTAGCGCGACTGCTAGCTTGTAGAAGTGTAAACAGAACTTGAGCCTGTAAGCGGCCATTTCAAACTGCCACTCATACTGACTATCGTTGTTTCCAGAGCGGGATGCTCCTATAGAACATCCATCCGTTGAATATTCATCTGCAGGCAGGTGCCTTCACATCCATAGGAGAGCAGATAACGGTGATAAAAAGACAAGCAAGCAGCTCATTAGGTTTGTCCCTCCTTAATAAATGACTTCTTTGTGCTGAGGAGGAAACTTTACATCGAAAGGGGAAAACATTCTGGGCTTTGAAGTGTCTCTGGCAAGATGTATCAAATTCTGGCATGATATATACATGCTCCCATATGGCCATAGTCTCATGCTATTTCAGACACAATAGATGATGTCAGGCAGGATTCAATCACGCCGCTTCCCATTTTACGTTCAACATACTTCATGGTGATGTCGGTAAGTGGCGGCATTATGAATTACATTGCTCGGCTTCCGAGATCAGGCGAGAATGTCCGTTCTCAGGGTTGTGTGGCTTTGGTGTGTTTTTAAAAAGTGCTGCTGTGGTCACTTTTTGGGCAATATTCATCCAAATTGGCTTTGTATCAGGTTATGGTTTCAAGTTAAGGAGTCGATATTTTTTTTTAGCCCTCTAAAATCACATTTTCATGTTGTTGTTTTTTTTTCCCCATGTTCTCAGCTACTACAAATTCTTTATTTCCAACAAGAGGGCCGTGAATGTTCTTGTCAAATGACTCGGTAACCAAGCAACTTTGTCAAGGTTGAGGTCAGGTAATGCATTAATTCTCAGCATTGTTGTAAAATTGCGATTTGCAGTCAAAAACAACAACGTAAGCCACAACATACATCCATACATGCATACATACATATATACAAACAAGAGAAGCTGTATAGTTTTCTGCTAATACTGCCCTTGTTCATAAAAGCTTCTTATTTGTGAGGAAAATTCTATTGCGTCCGCAATGAAAACATCTTCACGATAGCCATTCACACACAACAGGGAAAAGTCAAGGAAAGTAGAGAAAAGTCACAGTCATCCTTGCAAACTCATCCGTGAGTGAACTCACTGTCCCCACGTCTGCTGGTTTTTGATGCTTCATTGAGCCACCGCCACACACGGACTGTACTCTGTACCAAAGCCTAACGCATAGCAACAAGTCGTAAAAGCACATCAAGTGTCCAAACAAGCTGAAAGTTATGACGCACGATGCTCACAACTTATTTTTGTATCTACCCAGTCATCATTTCATCTGTTCATAGCAACAGAAGACAGCTGGCCGGAAAAAGAAAAAGTTAACAAGAGTAACATCCTCTTTGCATCAATGCTGTTCAAGAAACTATGCTATTTTAATATTTTTGTGTGTGTCTGAAACTTAAACTTGAGCACTCACACTATCTAATTTCATTCCCAAATTTTCAAGGACGATTTTTATTTATTTATTTATTTTCAATTAGCTCCCACATTGACATGTTGTACTGAATGAAGTTCTAAAATGTGTCCATGGGCTGTTTTTTTTCCCATTAAAAAAAAAAAAATAACAATAATGAAAAAATGCTACGCGGCATTGCACACATTATTAGAATGCTTGTTTTAATCTATTCTGAACCTAATTTATTACTTGAAATAAAAACAGCAAATTATTTAAAACAAAATGGAAAGAAAAATATCATTTAAGGCTATCAACAATTCACAGTGGTTGGTTTTGTGCTGTGTAAATATGTGCAGGAACCTTTGGGATAATTTGGCTTGAATGGCACGAAAGTACCAAAATTTACGTGTACGACCCATGTGAAAAGCATTTGAGGGTAATTAATCGTATGCCGCCTCAAGATGTGACACTCTTTTCCTATTGGATATCTTCCAGCTATCTTTGTGATAAGTGTAGATTCAGCACCCACACTTTCGCATGTTTTTTTTTAAACATTTTTGGGCTTTGGGGGTGTTTTGTCTGTTTGTCTTCTCCATTAACTCATTCCATTTAATTTCCAGGGACTTAAAAACGTCTTCATGTGGATAAGATCACAAAAAGCACGTTCTGGTTGGATATAGTGAAGCTTTTTTTTTTAAACATTTTTGGGCTTTGGGGGTGTTTTGTCTGTTTGTCTTCTCCATTAACTCATTCCATTTATCTTCATGTGGATAAGATGACAAAAAGCATGTTCTGGTTGGATATAGTGAAGCTTTTTTTTTTTTTAACAAATTTTTGCTGAAGTAAAATTTGTTCACACATACAAAGAGCCATTTTCTTTCTTTTTGGCAGGCAAGAACATGATGCTATTCCAGCAGGATTCAGATTTGTGAAAAATCACGCAGCTCCCCTTCTTCCACTCTCCATTTCACAGTGTTTTCTTCAGTCAAGAGCAAAATGCCACACATTGATGAAATAGCTGCTTATCCCCATTAGAGAAAGGCGAGAATCTGTGTACTATTTCAAACTCTGTGCATCCTGACAACTATTCCATTTGTTCCATTTGACATGAAAGGTGTTCTATTAGCGTCGTGTGCAGAATGAGGGCTGGGCTGATGTTAATGCCGGTGGAAACACCGAATGAGTAAAATCCCCCACTGGGAGCAATGCATGAAACACAATATATCAAGTGCAAGAAGATTTTTACAGCAGCCAAGGTGTCACATGTTGGAGTCCTTTTATGTCATTATTTATTTAGTCGTTTTTTTTTGTTTTTTTTTTACCCATCTTAGCTTTGGAAATCTCCAGAGATCAAGGCTAATGTGGAGGTACAACACGGAGCAATATGTTAAAGAATATTGTCAACACATTGAGTAAATGCATTTAACAACTGTCTATCTCTGGGACACAAATCACATTAACCAAAAAACATAGCCTGCATGAAGAATATGTGTTCAACTGCTGCCTGAATCAGCACGCAAAGATTTGCTATTCACTGTCATAATAGATGCGGGAGCGTGACCAGTCGCGCTGCCTTAATTGTTCATTTGTATGCGTGCGGAATTAACATTTGTGTCTTCATCGAATGTAAGTGAAGCAGTAATGTCTTCTAATAGACTGAAGTCAAGCCAACATTACACCAGTGTCTTTCTTCAACCATTGTTATTCTTTCATGTCAAGGTGTTCTGTGACAGACAGAGAATAGTAAAATCGTCTTAAAATTTTTTTTTGAGTCACTACAACTCTCCAAAATCAAATTAAAGCACAAACAGGTTTGCTGTATTGTCAACTTTGTCTACATCCTCTGTCTTGAAACATGAGTATGAGTTGTAACAGTTCAGTATTTGGTGCATACTGTATTTCTCTTTTAAGAACAAAAATCTGAATGCTGCAGACAGTCAAGAGCAGTGAAAATAAGTGTATTTTTAGATTGAAGTTGGTGAAAGTTTAATAGAAATATTTTTTCTATAAACTTAATTTCACACTGATGAGAATTGCCATGCCAAGGCATTAGGAAGGAATATTTGTGAGTGTACAAGTCATCAAATTGCGAGTGGTTATGTGTGTATTTATTGACAAACACATTTACAAACACTATTTTTCCCAGCGCAAGTCAAGCGTGAGGCGCCGTCTAAATCTGCGCAGGGGTAGACTAGACTGAGTTTTGGTATTTTCATGACGTGCGCAGTGTGGCGCTGTAAAAAACAGGTGTTTTGCGCCGTTGTGAGCATGAACAGCGGGAGCATGTTACATCACACCTGATGCTCTCTCATTTGTGTTAGACGGCACACCGGTTGAGAATACCTGATCTACGTAGATGGAAGAAAACAAGCTGACAAAGGCCGATGACACTTAATGGTTTGAACCTTAAAATTAGTTTGAACTTTGACGTACATTTTTGGTTCTCCAAATTATACGTCATATGGGGTGTTTATACTTGAAGGTACCACTTACTCACCATCGCGCACACTGTCGATGACGCAAGTGCAGGCCGTGCTCCTCAGAGACACTTACGCAAAACAATTGCCTATTGTTTGATGACTGACAGGCCTCCCTCTGCAAAAACATTCTCATCGCCCAGCTATGTCTGAAATATTACATGCATAATCCATGATTTGGGAGTCGTAGCTGCTCTTAAAAACAAGCAGAATCATCATTTGTCTATTTTCCACTTGCACTTTCATCTTAATTGTGCCATTACGTGGTAGGTTTCTGAGTAGTGCACCTCTACTATGTCACATCAGAAAGCTACGTTCATCATCCCGCTGCAAAATTGCATCGTAATGGGAGTATGGAGGAAGTAACTTTGAGAGCACCTTCAAATTGCACACAAGGTTTCCTGCAATTGAAATCCCTTCAGGTGACCTCATGTTTCCTGTCCTGCAAATGCATTGGCACCATTACGTGCCAGCTGCCTATTGCACCTGCTCTGGCAGTGTGAGGGCACCTCTTTTTGTGTGCCTGTGTGTGTGTATGTATGTGTGCGTGTGTCTTGTCTGTATGCACCGTATGTGGGATGGTGGTGGAAAGTAACCAAATACAAATACTTTTTTTACTGTCCTCTAAACACTTTTATAAGAATGGGTGGAGACGAAGGTTAATTGGAAGAGCATTCTGCCTGTCACTATACATCACTAGCATAGATAGATGGAAAACGATACATAGTTGAAAGTCAATAAATAATCATTTTAGGCCCCAAAATTTCCCATTTCATATCTGATCATCATATCTCTCACAGGACACAACTGGTCGCCGTTACTGCTTTTGTGATATATTTGTTTTGGACTCATGACAGGAGTCGTGTATTCTTTTATTCAATTATTTACTTAGATTGTATGTTAAAATGGAAATGCTGTTTTAGTTTAGTTGGCGGGTTTGTTGTTTTGAACGAAAATGACATTTTCACTTCAATATTAGGCGCATGTGGCCTGCCCGACTTCGATAAATGACATCTCACTAAATGAAAAATGTATTTGCAGACTCTTTAGGATTTGTATTTCAGTATACCTGCCTAGTTTGAAAATGAAGTCCAAGGAAGTAAGATGCTTTTTTTCCCCCCCAGTTCTTGTCATTAGTTAATTTAGCTTTTTGTTGGTGCTGTTGTTACTCATTTCACAAAGTTAGCAAAGCTATGGGGGCGCTTTGTTTGATAGCATTAAAGTCAAGTCTCAATGCTGGCTACCTTTTTTGTTTAAAAAAAAAAGGGAAATGTTTTTCTTCTCAATATGGACACTATGTAATGAAAGAAAAGACAACTTGTTTGTGTGCAGACAAATGTTTCTGTTCCATAGTTATCAAAACAGGTATTCTGCACAATGCATCAGTTAAATCAGTAGACTACTTAAACTTTTACCGGAATTGTGTTTCATGCAAGTATCTGTGCTACGTCTACACCACAGAGAGTGTGTGTGTGTGTGTGTGTGTGTGTGTGTGTGTGTGTGTGTGTGTGTGTGTGTGTGTACTTTTGCCACCTCTGCTGCTCAATGCACCTGCTCGGGAATGCGAATGCATGTCTTTCTGCGTGCATGTGGGTGTATGAGCAACAGCACTTCAATTATCACAAGGCAGTAGGCAGACTGTTTTTATATTTCTACATCAAATTCCCACTT